CTTTCTACTTCTTAAGGGATAGGAATAATAATAACATTATTCACAGGAAAATCTGAAATGCAGATATTAAAAATAATAAGCACTATTTAAAATGTCTGAAGGATTTTTCAATCAGCTTGATTGAGTGTTTTCCTGGTTGAGTTATTTTTTCCTTTCCTGAGGTGACTGGAGCACAGACCCTTTTGTGCAGACTCTGTCCCTTCCAGACAGCTGTGCTGTTCAACACTTTGGGTTTGTCACCCCTGAGTCCACAGCAGTGACACTTCAGTCCTGGGTGCTTCCCTGTGTGTTGCAGTGCTGATGTAGTGCTTGGCTTCTCTGCAAACCAGCCATCTAAGGGCCTCCCAGACACACAGGCAGCTCAGGCTGAGCAGGGAAAGCTGACTTCTTCCTCAGTGTCCACACAAGAGCAAGCAGCCTCGGAATGCCAGGAAGCTTGAGCCCCAGTTCAACCTGTGGATCCGCATCCTCTCAATTGCTATTCACATCTGGAGCCAGTCAGGGCTTATACACAGCTGTGGGGGGATGCCTGCACCAAAAGGACAGAGGTGCCCATGCTGCAGATGTGAGGTTGACAAGAGTCAGGACAGGATTACAGACGTTTGTTTTCTTTTTTCTGCTCAAGGAGCTGTGGCTCTGAACTCTTGAAATAATTGGTGCTGTTGTATGAAAAGGCCTTTTGCACAGAGTGATTCTTTGAAATAAGAACTTGTTTCCAACATTATGTACTGAATTTTCTTTGACTGTTGTTACTGGCTGTCCTAATCATTGCTTCTAAGAGCAGCCAGCCAAGGCCTTGCTCAGGATTTCTCCCAGAGTTACCACAGGTGAAGAACCCCAAGGGAAGCAATTGTGTGTTTAAAAATGGCATCAATGTGAAGGAGAGCATCACCCCTCATTTAAATTGTCTTCTGTCTATCGAGCTGGGGGAATGAACAGTATGTTTTATGCTGAACACTGAGAGATCGAGTGTGGCTCAAAGCCATGACCTCTCTAGCTATCTATTTTTTCAAAGGCTCTTTCTTTTCCCTGATGTCATTAGTGTTGCTATGGAGTTTCACAGTGCTCCACTTGGAGGCTGTTCATACAGTTACTTACACACACACTTAAATGACTTAATAAAATGTATACAAACTTTTATTGAGATGATCTCTGATTTATTGATTGTCTCCAGTCTGCTTGGTAAAATATAAACATTGGGGAAGACTTGGTCTCTGTCACTTGAGAGTTATAATCAGATTCAGCAGAACAAATCAGACCAAAATGTAGGCTGCAACAGCTTTGGCTTAAAAACATCAACAAAATAAAAAATGAAACCATCTTGGTCTGATGATTTAGTAGGATTTGAGTGATGGAAAATGGAATGTGTACTTCAGGCAGTGTCAGTACATGCTAGTGTTGTTTTTTTTTGGTTTTGTGTCAGGTTGGAGAAGAGGGAAGAGCAGTATTCCCTTCACCTGACTGCTCCACATGTACTTGGGTCACTTTACTTTGGTTTAACAAGTTATAACGCAGTAAGTTGCCTGTGAACTTTTACTTAGTTCACAGCAAGCCAATTTAAGCTACAGTAAAAGCTGTTAAAACTATTGTCTCTAGTCAAAAGCATGCTCACAGGCAGCTACGAGGTCTCAGCTGGTACCCAGGGATTTCTGATTTATGAATCTGAACTTTGGCCTTCATCTGCAGTTCTGTTGGGATCGGTCTCTGCTTAAGAGATTTGCCAGCACAGCTCTGCTAACAGAACAGTCCTTGTGTAGACTCATCTTTTACTGAAGGAAAAGTGCATTTGCTAATAAAGTTTACCAGTTCTGTTGAGTGAAACAAGCCAGGCCAGCAAAAGGACTTTAAAAGTCTGTACTTTTGGGCTTTGTCTGCCAAAGAAATGTCAGTTATACCTAATTAGTTTACCTAAACCAGCAAGGGCTCATACTGGAGAGTTGGCCTTATTTTCCTTTAGATTCTTGTAATTGTTCCACTTGACACTGAACCTGTGAATGGAAAACAATGAAGATGGGGACATTGACAGAGTGTGCACATAGTCCTGCCATCCATAGTGTTTGAGCAAATTAAGCACCCTTCTGTACTGATTTTTTTTTTACCTCCAAGTAACTCCATTGATTTCCAGAGGGTTACTCCCACGAAGAAATCTTCATCAGATTTAAACCTAAAACTGCGCTACCAGTGAGAAAACAGAGCTCAGGTTCAGTTTTGGCTACATTAAAGGCAAATACCTTTCACATGCAAGGAATGCTGTGATATAATGTGATTTTATCCATCATATGTGCTGATGACATATCTGAGCACTTAACCAAAATCTCGTAAGAAATCATTCATAATGATATAGATCTTTAAGCTTAGATTATAGATCTTTAGGCCATTAAATATTACATATAATGTAGTGGGGAGGTCAGTGCTGTCTTCTGTGCTGTCTAACTTCAGTGCTTTCTGTAGTGACTATTACAGCTCATTAAGCCTAGAACAAAGACTAACTAGGGATCCATTTATTAAATTTATTATTGTTCTGCTCCCAGTTCCCTTCATTATAGTCTGAGTGCTGCAGAATCCCTCAAAGATGTCACAAATGCCAGGAAGCTCTGACACTGATAACTTGCCTGGAGCACATAATAGATTGTAAGGAAAGACTGTCTGCCTAGATGTGGCTCCAGTCATGTTGCCATGAGGATGGAGCAGCACAACAAAGCCTTTGGGGAAATCTTTGTCATGTTCTTGTGCTACACAGGCTATACATCCTATACAGTGAGGCAAAGTCTGCTTTTGCTCACATCCAGGTGGCTTGGCCACCTTCACAAGAAGCCAAATTGTAAAGCCAGCATGTGTTTAGAGAAGTGAGAGCTGAGTGTGCCCAAGGAAGCACCAGCTTTGCAGCCTGGGATGTACCAAACCTAAAAACACCCTTGAAGTTTTCTAGTGTTGTTAATAAGAGCAGGTAAGGTTATAAATACTGTGTTGCCTGCCTGCTGTGGTGTTGTGCTGTGTTTACTCTGGGCTCACATTTTGCCCCTGTTCTCAGATCTCTCCAGTGAGGTACTGTGAGTATATTTACTGCTCAGGAGAAGTTTAGAAAAGCTTGTCACAAATTCTGGCCCTACATGCTGTGATGCAGGTTCAGGTGGAAGAGAAGGCTAAAGCCTGGCATAACACCCTGTTCTGCCTTTTGCTCTGATGATGAATATTAAGTCATTCCTTCCATGGTGAATTATACTGTATGTGCTTAAAACATTAATATATATATCTATGACTAAACAATAATGTTAAGTATAGATTTATTACTTTAATATACCAAGATGGTGCACTTGTAATAGGACTGGTTTGTTTAATTGCTAGCATTAACCTTAGGTTTAAAGCTAGCTCAAAACTGTGGTAATCAGAATCTGAAAAGTAAGAATACATTTCCATTCACTCTGCTTTTCCCTGCATTAACAAATGTGCTTGTGCTCTGACAGAGGTTTCAGGCCAGGAGAACAGAACTGGAGAAGGGAAAGCAATTTCCAAGCATGGACTCTCAGTGGTACTGTAAGGTAGGGAGATGCCTGTCTGCTGAAGGTACCACAGACAGGAAGGACTTGTACCAACTCCTTTCATTAGCATTATGGCATATTCTGTGCTGTCTGTCTGAAATGTATCTGAGCAATATGAACTGGTGGGACTGCTGAGATCTCCTGGGAACAGATTGTTCATGATTATTATGACCCATCCCACTTTTCATTGGTCTGGGAGTTATGTATGATTTTCCTCGAGTGGTTTCAAAGTCTGACTGAGCTGTGCTGTTAGAAAGTTGGGTGAGTGGGAGAGGTGCAGAGGAAACATGAATGGCTTGTGTGGATTTCTGGTGTTTGTTTGAGAAATATCCTTTTAAAAGTAACCAAAGATGAACCCAGATCCTTAAATCTGATCTCTGTCCTGGGCTTCAAAAAATCTGCAGTTGGTTTGGGCTCCTGCAAATCTCAGCTAATTGCAATGCTGACAGTATGCTGAAAGTTGCATCCTACCACCTGCTGTCTTGGTCCACAGAGGCAATGAGGGCTGTAATGCTCTCATTAACTCTCTCTTACTCTCTTTTCTTTCCATTTCTGTTTTGAATTAAGTAGTGGTCTGGCTTTTAGTCAGCTGAAACAAAGGATTCCCCATGCTGGTAAAATAAAAAAGCCCTTTCATAGTCACAGGATAAAAGGGAAGGGCTGAGAAGAAATGGGTCACAGCTAGGGATGTACAGCCCCTGGAACTCCCACCCCTCAATGAGACTCACACAGAGCTTCCCAGCTGAGCAGTGTAATGTGTGGAGCTCTGTTTGCATTTTGTTTGATGTCCTCTTCATTTCCTGTTTGTTAAGTGATCTGAAAGTAAAACAACCACCCGACCAACCAAGGAAAAAAAAATCCTTTCACAATTATAAACGGGGCCCAGCTGTGTAAGCTGGGCTGCACAGGCGCTGACCGAGATTGCCAAAAGGGCCCATGTGCCTCGTATCCTCCACTCAGAGGGCGCTCAGCCCTTGCAGAGTGATTGCTCTCTCCTTCGTCTCAGTGTCTGCCCTCTTTTGAAAGCACCTCTAGCAAGGCACTCAGATTCATTAACTCCTGAGCATAGTCTCTTTTGCGTGTCAACGTCTATCAGAACTAATGCCACTGGGGGTAAGAGAGGGGACTGGAAGCACAGATGGGAATGTCACATCAGTCATCCGTACAACTGTAATATCAGCGGTCAAAGGAAAAGGACTTGCGGGAAAGATTTCCCAAAGCACCTTTTGATATTAGTACTGGAGGGTAAATGATCTTCAGGGACGTGACCTGACTGCAGTCACAGTGTGACTTGCAGTGGGTGTTATAGCCATAATAAATTGCACAGAGTATGTCAGTTGTGACCTGTGAATGACGCAAAAAAACCCAACCCAAAACTTCAGGACCTTGCCAGCTGCTACAGGAATGCAAGTTATAAAAGGTGTTGTCTTGAAAGTATTTGCTTTGCTTGGGAGGAGAGAAAAAAGTAGGAAAAGAAACTTGAACAAGAGGAATCTATGTGCACTGCTGCAACCAATATGAAAGTTAGACTACAAAAAACCAGGTCTCTGCAGACAAGAGGTAGGTAAATAACCATACACCTCAGCTCAAGTAGAAATGAAATTACTTAATTCCAAATAAAATCTATTACTACCCGAACCTGGAGCATATTGACAAAAGCTTCAGTCTTTTCAACAAGCTCAGTAGTACTGAGTGAAGAGGGGAAAATAATCCCAAACACCTCTGTGCGTTCAAACATTTTTTCAAAGAAAGCAGCAGGAGAAATTCATTGAATTGATCTTTCTCAGCATAACTTTATGAAGGGCAGCATGGGTAAGGCAAAATATGTATTTATTTCTAAAGGAGAAATGTCACCCTCTCACCTACTATTCATAATCTCCCAAGTATTTGATTGCTGTGTCTATAGATAGAGGGTTTGAACACACAGAATCATTTCCAGACTGATCCTCTTCAGTGACTTCTATAAAGTCACTTCATTTTTTGCTTCACCTTTGCCATCTGCAGAAGATTTTCTGTCTGAAAACACTGCTTTTAAGAAATATTTTCTGCATTTCTTTGCAAAAGCTGTTCCAGGCAGGAGACAGTGTTGTCCCTTCCTGACCCTCAGCTCAGGGGCAGGGTGTAGGATGGAGCTCAGGCACATGCAGTGGCCCCAAAGGTGAGTGGGGGACACCTCTTGCTGGGGGAACACTGGGTCACTGAGGGCCCAGCTGCTTCTCCTGGGCTGGCAGGTTCTCAGAGGAGAGCATGGAGAACCCTGAAGGGAGCTTTGAGCTCCCTGCATGCTTTTAATGGAGGGGGAGGGGACAGAGGGGAGCTGGAACAGGCTCTACAGGCTGTTTGGGGGCCAGTTGGTGGGGAAAGGAGAGGAAGCTGAAGGCAACCACTGCCACAGCCCTGTGGGAGAGATGTCAGCCAGGGCCAATACTGACTTGGGCCAACTCTGCAGTGTGTCCAGCCAAGGGGAGCCTGCCCGTGCTGAGGCATGTGAAGCAGGCACTGACAAAATGGGCACTAGCAACTCTCCTGATGGGCCTGACTTCCCTTGGCTCCAGTGGGATCTGGTTTCCTGTGCCAGCCAGGCAGTCAGGGCACTCAGCCAGGTTTAGAACTGCTGGGGTGACTGGGTTGGAGAGCTGCCACACAGCTCCCGGCCCTCTGCCTGGCAACCACTGCAGAGGAGCTGATGCCACTGGTACAGTGCCACCTCCATCCCAGCTGGGATTCACCAGATCCTCATGGAGAGCCTGGTAGAGGATGTAGCCCTGGGTGCAGCTGGGGGGCTCTGACTGGGCAGATGTGGGCAGGCATGCAGGAGGGCTCTCCAGCTGGGGGACAGCCTTGCAGGCAGCTCCGCTGGGGTCTCTTCCCCACCCTCCATACTGGTGAGCACGTTGTCTGTGCCATCAGTGTGCAGGACAGTGTGTGTGGAGCTGTACAGGGGCAGGGGGCTGGCCCTGGCAGCCAGTGCCTGCAGAATGAGAAGAATCACACAGGAATATCTCTCCTATGCTTCTCCCAGGCTCCCATCACTCATGACTCAGGGAATTCTGGCATTTCTACTGTTTTCTCTGTGTGCAGTGACTTAGGATTGAGCATCCATTGATTTCTGACCTCACCAGTGATTACTGGTTAGAATACAGAGACTTGATTCTGTGACTCAGCCCCTGGATTGCATGTTCTCTTTCCTTAATTCCCACAGGAAACCAACATAATGGCAGCAGAAGGTTACTTGTATTTAATTCTTCCCGAAGCTTGCTTTCTGCTTAAAAACATGCTTTGTTTTGTTCATGCATTCTCACTCTTAGGGGTGTCCATGAGCTTGGGCAAGGCATTTTTATTTTTTTTTAGCAGACACCCTATCTGTCTCCATTTTCAACTTGAACACATCTTTCTCAGAATCTTTCAAAATAGTGCAGCTCTAGCATTGGATGTTTGAGAGTCTTTCTTGCCTTCCTCCCCCTCCTCATTTTTTATTTAAAATCTTAAACTAATTCCAGGAAATCCAGATGAGATGAAAGCTTTCAGCTCTAATATTCTAGATGCAAATCTTATTAAATTCCAAACCTCAAACCAAGCAACAGTGAACACTGGGAATAAAACTGAAATGAAGACGATCAATCACTCTCAAGTCAGTTTAGCAGCTCATACAGACACATTCTCTGTGGTCTCATCACATTCATATTAATGGACAAATTTGCCTTTTGCATTATATTCCATACATTACACTGTGTAATTAGAAGCTAATTGGAAGCAGTAGGCAGCATGCCAATATTTGTGGTATTCAGAAGTCATTGAGAGCTTCAGTATCTGAGGAAAAACCTGATTGTTTGTCAGAGGCACTCCCAACTGTGTCTACAAAGAAAACATGCTTTTGGAATCTCCTTCCTCTAGACTTCTAGGTTCTGGGAAGCTGAACTACTTGCAGGTGCAATAGTAGGGAATTACATTTGTAATTAAAAGAAATCCTTAAGGGTCACACATCTAACCACAAAGGTGATTATTAGGCCTGCCACCTGCCCCAGGCTAATCTCAACCTTAAGAAACTGCAAATATGTAGTTATCCTAGCCTTGAGGAAAGGCTTAAGGATGGTACTTGGAAAAGACAGCAGGAAAGAAAGCACATGACTGCACACTTCTCCAAGCCAAAACTGCACGTGCCTGGTCACAGGTACAGAGAGGGTGCCCAGCTCACGGTTGTATGAAAGACTTAAATTTCGACTGGGAAAGCTGAATGTGATGTTTTGCAAAAGTAAAATCAGTGGAGTAACTTTTACATCCCTTCAGAAGGGTGAGCATTCACAAGAGCAGCTGATGGAGAATGTTTGCCCCACACCAACCCCCCCCCCCCCCCCCGGGAAGCCATTTCCAGCTAACTATGGCCTCAGTTATGTTTATTACTTAGAGGGCTTTTGAATTGCAAGGATTCTCCATGTAAAGGAAAACCTCATCCTAAAATAGAAATCTGTTCTCTCTAGGCATGTCCTGTTTTATATTCTTGGCTACAGTTGTGAGGTGGAGACACTGTCTAGAGAACAAAGTCTGGAGCCCTTCTGTGGGGCAGAACGTTTGGAAATTGGGTCACCTGTCTGCAAATATCTGCCTGTGCAGTGGCACTTCACCCAGGAGCAGGTGAAGCTTGTTTAGACATTGGTTACGGACTCTGTATCTTTTTAGCTCCTTTTCCATTTAGCACACTTTTTCTGATCATTCTGTTGTTTGCTGGTGTATTTGTATATATTGCTGCTCAAGCTTTGTGGTTGTGTATTCCTGCTTTGATTGATAAGTAACTTTTAATCACCTGTGTTGGTCCCCCACTTCTTGTTCCCTGAGTTATTGTTTCCACTTCTCATGGGAGTCATTGAAGTTCTGCATAGAGGAGAATAAATTATGATGATCTCTAGCTGCAAATTTTCTCCTGAATAATTCCCCATGTTACAATGCATGAAAATTTTTGAATCTGTAGAGGTTTTTGTAAAAACTGTCTGAATACTTGTGACTGGCAATTGTTACCATATCAGAAATTAGCCTACCAAATTAAACCTTCTTGTCTGTGAATAAGGATGTTTATCTTCAGCCAGGTTCCAAATAGGTTCATGGTACTGGAGAAAAAAACTAGAGAAAAATACATATTCTAGCCTGTAGGCCAACCACCCTTTATCAAAATCCCAAAGCAGGAGAAAGAAAAGAAAGGAAAAGGAGATACTCACTTAGAACTCTTCCAGAAGTGTTCAAGATTTGTCCCTTTCTCTTTTTAACCATTGGATTATATTTATTGGCTTAATAAACTTTAAGACTTGAAGTATTGGAGACAATGAAAGTCTAGACTTTTTGTCATAAGGTCAGTAGTTCAAACAGACTGATTTTTCTCCTTGATTTTCTCCCTGCTTTTGGCCAACCAAGAAAAGCTGCCAAACTTTATTGGCCAGATTGGCTCATTTAACCAGAAGTGAATATCTCACCCACACACTAAACCACTGGGGTTTCCTCTAATGCAGTACATGTCAGCTATAACAAGTCCCTATTAATAATTAATTGAGTTCCTGTTGGGACTGCCTGAATAATTTTCTTTGTTTCTTGTCAAGCCCCAGCACTCTGTAGTAGCCTAATTTAGTCTAACTGACTGTGTCATGGGCAAGTATATCCATCCTGGATGACTTGACCACCCTTTCACCATTTTCTTTATGACATGGTTTGAAGCCTTTAGAAAGGGCCCATAGGTGTACATTTGTCATGTTGTCTTGAAATCACACAGACTTAACCATTGAGGTGCCATGATAGGAACGTATGTTCTGGCTAATACAAGGTAGTTTAATATCTGATGACCTTGCTCTGGTAGCACACCTTCTTTCAGCTGAGAGTGCTCCAGCCCTTGTGTTTTCTCTAGGGCTCAGGTCTTAGGGTGATGGATTGTACTGCAGAGCAAATAAGGGGGATTAGGCTGTGTGGTGTTTCTTCTACCCTTGCTCCTTGAATGCTCTGGCCAGGTTAAGTGGTATTTCCATGGAGCTCTTTCTGGGGAGTTTGTGGGGTTTGTGGTGAAAGACAGCAAGAGCAGATGTCTGTGTTACAGCCCTAAGTTTGGAAGCTAAAGCCCTTTATGGTTTCCCATATAGATTGAGATGAACCTGACACTGTGTGTTTAGACCAAGCAGACCCCTGCTCCTTGGCTGACTTCTGACACTCCAGATTGCTCCAGGACACTGTTTATGGCTGCTGTCTGAGCTGGGGACCAGGCATGATTGGGCTGACAGTGCTACTGGCAAGAACCAAGAAATTCCAAGTATTAGACTTAGCTGGAGGGGTTTTATCAACATAAACATGGCAAATCCCAACAGAGTCCAGCACTTGCCCCTGTCAGCCCTGTTAAAAATAATAGTGTGTTAGGCTGGTCGAGTAAGTGGGCTACTCACAGTCAATCAGTGTGGAAATTTTGATATGACTCATTTCTTACACTTGCTCTTAGTTACAGCTAGGTACTGAGTCCCAGCTGTGTAAAAGAGACTAAATTAGTTGCAAAAGGAGAAGAGGAAGAAAGTGTTTCATTCTCATATCAGCCC